GCAGAAACCTGACATGAATTACAAATGGCACTGAAGTACTGAGAATTTAAAGATGCAGTTTTAACTTGTATAGTAAACAGAACTGAAAAATGAGCGACTCTTCATTTTTATTTTGAGAAGTACCGCCTGACTCGCCTGCTTGTTTTCCTCAGACGCTCCACTCGAGCTGCCCTCCTTCCAGCTAACCCCATCCCAGCGGCAGGTCGTCTTTCAGGGGGACAGCCTGCCCTTCCAGTGTCAGGCCTCCCTCGTGGCAGAGGACATGCAGGTGCTGTGGTACCACAGGGGCCTCATGGTCAAGCCTGACGCCACTCAAGGCATCTTCATTGAAAAGCGCATTGTGCAGAACTGCTCGCTGATTGCCAGGTATGAAGATATGTGTTCGTGTATTCTGCAGTTCATAGGAATTTATATAGCCACCTTGACCAATTAACATAAAATATATTATATTCTCATGGTTTCCATCAGTGCATTGACCATCTCAAACATCCAACCTGGTTTTACGGGCAACTGGGAGTGTCGGGTCAGGACAAGCAGGGGAAACACCACCAGGACGGTCCACATTGTGGTGCTGCAAAGTTCAGCCAAGTACTGCGTCCCTGAACGTGTCTCCAACAACAAGGGAGAGTTCAGGTGGATACTTACTCCTTTTTTTTCTCTTTTTAAACTTAAAACCACTTAAAACTCAAAAATCCAGTGTGATGGAATATACCAAAGGTGAAGTAATAAATATTCTTGCTGTGTTGGAGCAGTTGCGTTATTGTGCAAGCAGCACCCCCTTGTGGCCAAACGGTGTTACTCCTTCAGTTACCAGATTGGACCTATTTTGGCTCACATGACACAGCCTTAAGTGGAAATAAACAGCAATTTATTTAAATCCTCCCAGGTGGCCACGCACCTTAGCAGGGATCAGAGCCTACCTGCCCTGCAACCGACTGCCATCGAGCGGAAGCACGTACTCGGGCAGCTCCAGTGAAGAGCAGCGGGCTTGGCGTTACTGTGATCGCGAGGGCCAATGGGCAGAAGAGGATTATTCCCGCTGCCAGTTTCAGAAGGATGTCACAAGATTCCTCAATGTCATCAACCAGGTTTGCATCTGGTCATTCAGGCTGTGATTTGATGGTTTTGAGCTTCCTCACACCTGTGGCCCACAGCTCTCTATTCATGCCCAGTTTTGTTTTTCCTAGATGCCTCTAAATGAGAGCAATGTGGTGACTATAGCTCAGCGCCTGTTTGTCTACACGAAGGATGCTGCCAACTTCTCAGACAAGATGGATATCATCTTTGTGGCTGAGATGATCGAGAAGTTTGGGAAGTTTGTTGAGAAGTTTAAAGACGTAAGTGGGTGTGCTTATGTGTTCACATTTAATTGTTTCTCTTTTAAAAACTTGGAGTATGCACTGCTGAGTTGGATGTAGTTGGAAATCTTGTTGTGTCTCTTTGTCTCCTAGCTGGGTCAGGTGATGGTCAGCATGGCCAGTAACCTGATGCTGGCCGACGAGAGGGTGTTGTCGATGGCTCAGCGTGAAGCCATGGCCTGCTCCCGCATCATCGCCTGCCTCCAAAAGATTGCCGCTTACCGCCCAGCTACACCTCAGGCCTTCCCCGTGGTTAGTCTCACCAACAGCATTTAGACATGTTGCACTACAGATTATGTGTGACGCAGAGCTGCATTTGACTCTTTCTGTTGTCCTTCCAGACCTCCCCTAACATTGCACTGGACGTCCACTTTGTCAAGGTCAGCGACTGGAATGGTATGTCCTGCGTGTTACTGCAGAGGGCCATCCCTGAGCGCCCCCTCGGCCAGGACCGCCAGCTCACCTTCAAATGTAACACAAGCAGCTCGTTTTCCAGCATCTTTTACAAGGTCAGCTCCTGCCAGGAAAAAAAAAACTAGTTTGCAGTTTCATTAGGCAGAACTTTTATCTGTGGACAGCTTCTGAATTTATAATTGAATTCATCAGATTTTAGTCGTAACAGCGTCTTTTGAGTAGTTTCACATGACAAGTTGTTCTTTCATTGTGTTTTTTGTCTTTATAGAGCACTGCAGCGGAGGCTTCCCTGCAATTTCCCCAGTCTCTCCTCACTGAGGCTGTACCTCCTGGGCAGCCAGAGGACACAGTCTACAAGCTCCACCTACTTGGCTTCCACAATGGCAAGTTTTTTCCATCCACTGGCAACTCCTCCCAACTTGCTGATGGAGGGCGGAGGAGAAGTGTAGCCACACCTGTCATCATGGCCAAGATAGGTGAGTCGTGATGTTGCAGGCATAAACCCTAACCTGACAAAAGGTCAGCTCTTCTAATCAACAAGGACACATTATCAGGAAACAAACTGAAAACTTAAAGTGCTTTACCCCACTGTGTACTTGGCATCAGATGGCATGACTCCACGCGTCCTGAAGACCCCCGTTAATGTCACCCTGCGCCTGTTTGCCCGCGGCTCAGATGCTGTGTCCGCCTGCTGGAACTTGAGCCAGGCGGGAGGTCAGGGAGGATGGCAGAGCGACGGCTGCCGCATATTAGACCATCACGACAATTTCACAACCATATCATGCAACTCTCTGGGCAACTATGGCCTGCTTATGGTAGGTTGGGCTGCCTCTTTATGTTCACTTGGGAGTTTGTGAGGCGATCAGCACCCGTGAGGATGCACAGTATGACCTCACTGGCCCTCTAATATATCTCTTTATGATCTCATTCTTGTTTCAGGATCTCAGCGCTATGGAATATTCCTCGCCAAGCATTAAGCCACTGCACCCGGTTATCTACGCCACCACTGTCATACTCCTCCTGTGCCTGGCCACCATTATTATAAGCTATATCTACCATCACAGGTAAGAGAATAAACCAGTGGTATTGAACGTCTTTCCCAT